AAATTGGCCAATCACGGTCAAGTATCAGTAGAATGCGCGACTGTGATTAGTCAATTTCTTAAGGCTAAGTCCCAGTCTACAATAGAGATTTAAGCCCTAAGCCTTAAGAAATTGACTAATCACAGTCGCGCATTCTTCTCATACTTGACCGTGATTGGCCAATTTCTTAAAGCTTAGGGCTTAAATCATCTATTGTAGACTGGGACTTAGGGCTTAAATCTCTATTGTAGACTGGGACTAAAAGAACGCACCGGACGAGACACGTCTCTCGTTTGTTAAGTCATGCTCAAGTGACGTCACGCGGTCCAATGGCAGAGTCGGGAGATAACACGTGACTCGCGCGGTGATCAAATATCGTGCTGTTCTATCATGCTATCTCACTCTGCAGTTAGTAAAATAATAAATACTTAACATTTCGTATGACAGGTTTCTTAATCCTGAAAGTGGTTTTAACAATAAATTTTCACAATTAATATCTTACTTCGCGGGGCAGAGCGACACTTTTTTTTCTTCACCAAATTCTTTCATTTTAAGCAAAAATGCATTGAATGAGTCTAATTTCATGGATTTTGGGGGTAAGAGAGCTAAACTGAATAACTTATTTTATAAAACTGGCGCGAATTGACGAAAAATGGCGGACCAATCACAGCGTGCTTTCCTATGGCCGGACTCTGATCTTGATCTTGACCAGTTACGAGCGTTCCGCTGTTTTCGTGATTGGTCAAAGTTCTCGTTCCGCGATTTTTTGAGTACAGTTATTGGGCGTTTTCCAGCAAGGACACAGTGTAACACAGTGAATCGTTTCATCCTTGTTTAACATTGGCAAACAACAAGGATGTAATAAGATAATATTATATTGAATAAGCTGAAGTTTGTAGAGAGAGAGAAAGAAGATTTAAGAAAATTTTTTCTTACACCGTCATAAAAAGAAAAATCACTGAGCAGTACTAACCTATGTCTATAGTATAGTATAATTCATAGACAGATCTTATATTCAAGACTGTCATGAATTTATCTAAGCGCGAAGGCCTGCTTTCATCTACGTCGCTTACCTTTAAACTTAATTTAATTCGATTTTGTCTCTTTCCAACGGTTACTTTAGAAAATGCAAACACAAACTAAACTAGCAATTAAAGTTAAAGGGGGAAGCCCACATTTTTGCATAAGTGCATAAGCATATGCATAGCGAATTTGATTGGTCTATAAGCAAATAGCACAAGGAAATGGACCAATAGCGACGGTTTGGTGAAACGAGGCCTAAAGCCCGTATCAGACTACGGATTGGGATTGGGATTAGATTGAAATTTGACCAATCAGAGTAAAAGTTACTGAACTTGGGATTAGTAAACTTTACTGTGATTGGTTAAATTTCAATCTAATCCCAATCCCAATCCGTAGTCTGATACGGGCTTTAGTAGCGCTGATAGAGCTCCTGAACGCACCCTATGGATGCGTTTGAATCGTTTTAGGAACGACGGCGGGAGGAACGCTTCTGACTCTTTCCGCATTTAATCGTGTCTCGAGGAGGTAATCGCGATTCTTTGGAGAGTGTAATCCTTAAACATCCTCTTTAATATTGTTTGTGAATGTTTAAATCGTGTAAAATATTATCCGGCGAATCTTTCTTTCGCGAATTATTGTTGAAATAATCATCATATCCGATTCCTTCGGCTGTTAATTCAGTGTCGGACACGTGACGTTTGTTGCGTTTGTGTTGTTGGTTATGGCGGACTATCAACGATCCACTATCCAAATAATATAATAATTACAATGAACCAAATAACGTTACAAGTTGTATTGTAAGATACATGCCAAGTTTTGCTCCGCACGATTAAAGATATTTTTGTTCTGTCGTGAATTTTTGTTTGTTTTGAGACAAGATTAGTTGCTCAGATATGGTTATGTGTGCATATAATCGTATATAGTTTACCTTTACGTCTAATCTTATAATTGCAGGTGAAAAATGGCCAAGTCTTCTGAAAAGAAGGGAAAGAGTGCCATCAACGAGGTGGTGACTCGCGAATACACCGTGAATCTTCACAAGCGTCTCCATGGTGTTGGATTCAAGAAACGCGCTCCACGAGCGATCAAGGAGATCAGGAAGTTCGCGGAGAAGCAGATGGGAACGCCCGATGTCAGGATAGACACGCGTCTGAACAAGCAACTGTGGTCTAAAGGCATCAGGTAATTTCTCAAAAAGATTCAATGAAACTGTGTTCAAGTTTTTGAGCTTAAATTCCTGGATTATACTTGCTCGAGTGCATTTCGAATTAAAATTATTTGACATAATTTGTACTAAAAGTATAAAATTGACCGCACACTGAGAAAAGGGAGAAATTAAAACCATGTTAACGCGGTCATATTGAATTATTATCTTGCAATAGTTAGTCGTTAAACATCTGTTAATGTGAGAAAAATTGTCAATTCAACGTAACTGTGTGTCATGTATGAAATTTTATCTCGTATGCAATTTTTATCATGAAAAAAGGGTAAATAATTATTTTAGATTGTACTGGAGGTTTTCTTCTCTTTTAGAAACGTCCCCTTCAGGGTTCGCGTACGACTGAGCAGGAGGAGAAACGATGACGAGGACTCCGCGAACAAGCTGTACACCCTCGTCACATATATATCCGTTTCGTCGTTCAAGGGACTGCAAACCGAGAATGTGGATGCTAGCCAAGATTAATGTATTTCTGTATAATAAATAACGATGAGCTCGTAAGGTATTCTTCTCGCCACACGATTTATACCGAATCCGTGTATCCTTGACAGTAAGATCCACAATGTGGTTTTGTTCTTATCTCTGTAAACTTCTGGAATATTCTTTTGTATTAGTAAAAGCGTCCGGGCTAATCTTCGTATCGATTTTCTTTGATAGTGAACGATTCGTGATTTCTTGTTTGAGCTATAGCTTTTTACTATTTGCGTTTCTGCTCTTCGGTGGTTTTATTTTGATTTAAATGAAGAATCGAAAATTGTAACAATTGAAAGAGAGAGCACCTCTTTATTATTAATCATTATCCACGTATAAACGATTTGCAAAAAGATAATCGAGACTACGCACTTTATATCAGAATTAGCGACGAGATATTGTAAAACTGATTAACACTGCGCAAATTTTTATACTACAAAAGGAATTTCTGATACTGACAATTTTAGAAATGCATCAAAAATACGAGTTCAGTATTCAATGTCTACCAAGTGTCGCTGTTTTATCATTATTTTATCGTGTCACTGTTTCAATTTGCAGATACATGTTTCCAAAAAGAAAGAGATTCGTAGCACCATCGGCGAGATGGCTAGAAATGAACTATAGTATGCACTGTCCATTTCGTAATTTTTATCGGAGGAAAAATTAATATGCTCCACTACAACGGCCTGCTCAACCAGTCGCCCCTCAACCCTTCGGGCGTGTCCGAATTTTTAATAGCGCGTCATCGCCGGTGACGTTGCCAATCGGGAGACTCGCGAATTGTCAGACGACGCTGTCAACCTCTGGAATTTCACAAGCCGGACGGCCGCGTGCGCGGCGAACTTGGCGCGCATACGTACGTCCGCAGTGTGCGGTGTCCGCGGTTTTGCGCGGCCAAGTCCGGTCAGTATGCGCCTGGCCCGGCACGGTCGTGGATCGCGGCGTTGTGGTGCGAGGCGCGCCGCCCGCGATGGAGCTGCGCGAGATGAGCCGCGCGTACGGCACTGCGGAGGAGACCGCGGAACTCCTGCCGCAGCGCGACAGCGCGCCCGAGTACGAGAGCTACTTCGTCGAGTACGCGATGCAGAAGGAGATGATCAATCGCAACCGGTGCTCCGCGAGCCGACGATTGCTCAGCCAGACCGCACACCTGGATTTCAATTTTTCCAATAGCAATCACTCCAAGGTTGGTCCCCGCGGGGGATTCTGGCTGTCCACCGATCTCTCCTCTGTTCGGGGAGGAGTTTCACGGTCCCCGGTGAAGCTCCTTCGCGCGAGGAACCGCGGTTCCCTGTGCACAAGCTCGAGCGACGCGGATTCACGAATGACTCTTCATGATCGGGGGAGACAGGCACGGGATGCTGAGAGTTCGCGTGTCTTAAGATCGGAAAATTGCCCTGGGAGAGCAGAGAAAGTTTCGAAGATACATATTTGTCTCTTGTCCTTCTTTCTTACAACTTAAGAATTGATAATCTAGGAGAGAGATGCGAAGAATCATTCTGCACACCTGTGCGTGTCATTTAACTGTTGAGGCATTGTCTGGATTATACATCGCGTATTACGCAAGATTACATTGCAAAATTATATAAATTCTTATGCTTTTTGATGATTTTTGAAAAATCCGTTTTGTTAATACATATTTGTGTACATATCGCGTGATTTTTACGATGTTACTTTACGCACATTTAGTAATTTATAAATCCCTTTTCCCACAATTATAAATAATTATACACAAATATTTATACTGCTATTAATCTATTATCCGCATTTTATTAATATTTGTTCATTTAATATTTCTTACATTATTAATTATTTATGATTACACGATTTGGAAGTTAGAAAACCGCGTTGCAATTTTCGTGAGTTTTCCTCGACGTCAATTTATACATTCCCGTATATCTTTACGAATCTTTTGAGTAGCACTTTTTATTCTCGAGCAGCGAAAGAGGTTCTCGGAGGCTCTTATGGATTTGTGAGAATCCTCCGAAGAAGTCGTGCATATAAATTGCGATGAACAACATTTCTACAAAAGCCCGTTGCTCGATCAGTGAGTTTGTTAATTTGGTCTCCGTCAGGATTCACCATGTGCCGGAATCACCATGATCCACACCTCGAGCGAGAACTGGCCGCCGTCCAGGAAGCGCGAGGAGGCGACGGCTCTGGAGAACCTCAGGAAGAGGGTGGAACAGAGCAAGCTGTTCAAGGCGGAACGAATTACCGATCCCGTCGTAGCCACCACGTCTTCGATAAACTACGAGCTGACTCAACAGCAGCTGGACAATCGGCCGAAACTTCTCAAGAAGGTAGACGGTGGAAATCGCGAATACGCCCAGAAAGACATTGCCTCGTTCAATTTACAGTAAAACGATCTCTCGATTTAGTAATCGAGCCCTTTTCCTGCCATTTCTTTCTTTCTTAGCGCGTATTTCTGTCTTAAGAATCGTTTAAATTGTTAGACGACCTAGCGAACTCGGAACTTGGATTCTCAACTGCGTTGACGCTAAGAAGGTCAGGGTTCCATCGAGTATACTTTTTACAAGTGTGAAAAATTGTCTGCATTGTCAGGCGATTTAACTGCTACTTTATGTCGTTTGTAATACAATTATAAAATGAAGTTGATAGCAATTGATTGCGGGCTCGCGTCTTTTTGTAAGTCCAAGTAAAAGGCTGAGGACGAACGTCGCGTGCCGGATTACATCTCGAGTTCGCGGAATATATTATTACCGTTGTGGCCTTGGCTTATTCGACTGTGCGACTGTTTTCGAAATGGAATACGAAATCAAAAGAGCGAAGGAGCACGCGCGCAAAGTACTTGGGTCGATACTTTAAAGTCAGGAGCGGCGCACCGTTGCCGCGGTTCCTTCCACGATCCTTGCTAAATGCAATTGGGGAAACTGCATCATTGGTCTATTTAAACTTTCGTTTCGGCGATCTTTCCGGCCTTTCGCATACGAAATTATTTTATTCGCGGAGCGTAGCCTCCTTCGTGTTCGAATCTGAGGAGCCAAAGAGATGCTCCGAGTTCGAAGATTGAATACCACAGTGTCCTTTAAATTTTAAAGGAAAAGGGAATTAGAACTGCGAAAATATAGACATCTAAGGGGATGCGAGAGTGCGGTAATTCAAAATTTAAAAAATTAAGTTCGTAAAGAGTTCGGAAACCTAAAAGAAGTTACAAGTTCGACTCAGGTTTCAGGATGTCAGAATTCAAGACTTGTACTACTTGCGTAGATGAAAAGTTCAAGAATGTAAGCTCTCGTGGATTCAGAGATTTGTGAATCCCGAAATTCGCGGGGGCTCGTGAAACTCGAAGGGTCTACAATTGTTGTAACTTGAAAGTCTCGAGTTTCATGGACTCCAGTACTTCGAAGTTCACTTTAAGGCGGAGGAGGCGAGTGCTTTAAAGCGAAACGCGAGGACGGAGTCGTGCGATATCGCGTGCAGCATATCGTACGGTCGCAGATAGATAGAGCGTAGATGGAATTATCGCGTGACACCTATCAAGAAAAGATTTTCTTGCAGATACTCAGCAACCGGCCGATGAGTATCACGCACGACAGGAGCGACTTGGAGACCGACTGGCGCGACAGCGAGTTCATCACCGAGTGCCTTTGCTGGCACAACGTTTATCGGCAACGGCACAACGCACCCCCTTTGACCATGTCACCCCAGGTAGTAAATCAAGGGCGGTTAAGAGACCGTGCCGCAAACTTGCTAAACGATACTTATACATTACTGTTTGACCTTGCAGTTGTGCGAGTACGCGCAATCGTGGGCTAATCATCTGGCGCACACGAACACGTTCTATTATAGGAACGATCGGAACGTAGGTCACAATCTCTATTGTCGTCCCGGTAGCGGGGTACCCGGCGATATCACGGGACAAGAAGTCGCGTCCTACTGGTACTCCGCCGTGAGGCAATACGACTTCCTCAAGGAACCGGACATTCTTCACGCCAACGTAAACGCAGGTGAAAAGAAGATCTCAAATTGGGGGAGATCGTAATGTCTCCTTTACGACCTAGGAGCGAACGGGAATATACGTTAAATCGCTTGCCTTTTACTACATTGCCAGCAAATCGACCAACAGTTACATAACATCAATATTATAACTAAATTTTCAACTCGGTCCTTTTAAGATACAAATCAATTGCAGTGTAAACGCCTTTATTTTAAGGACCTGGCACAGATGGAGGTGGCCACGTAAATTATCATTACCTCCATCTGCGCCAGGTCCTTAAAATAAAAGCGTTTACACTGTAATTGATCAATATTATACTTTCCCACCCAACCATGCTGTTATGTACAGCATGTGTTATATTACATTTACATTGTTGAGTAAGAAATTATAACATTGATGTTACATAGCTGCTGGCTGGTGTTTACTTGGTTGTGCGAATATTTGTAGATACATATTCTAAATTCTAATTAATTTTATTAATTTACTCGAAGAGGGATTTATGCAAAGCAACGTCTCTTCCTAGGTCACTTCACCCAGCTGATATGGGCGAGGAGCCGTTACTTCGGGGTCGGCAAGGCGTGCAGCAGAAGCGGCAAGGTGATCGTGGTGGCGAACTACGAACCGGTGGGCAACGTGTCCGGCCAATTTCAGAACAATGTGTTTCCGCCGTTACCCGAGAATATGAATGTGGTGATGTCGCCACCCTCTGTGCGGGTGTCGCGGGGACAGTATGAGCCACTGAGGTCGACGGCGCCGCCCTTGTCGCCACCGTTACCGCCGCCGTTACCACCTCTGCTGTCGGACACCGCGTCCACCGCCAGCGACACCATGTCCGTCAGCTCCGGCCAATAATACCACGGCCGTTTGAAATGCCTTCTCTGTATTTGCGCGCGATGGGCCGGACGCTGAGGACGAAAAGAAAAGAGACAGAGAGAAAGAGGCCGACCCTTCGCGTGCCGTGAATCAAAGACTTCGGACACGCGAGACACGATGACCGATATCTCTGTCGGAAAGGGCGAAATGTTCCCGAAGCTTTTCATTAATGCGTCGATACGTATTTCTTGAAAAGCTTCTGAAAAGTTTCCTGAAAGGTAGCACGTGGCTGAAAATAGCATCTCGATTATACGCGCTAGCTAAATTGCCATCATAAATTCAATAAAGTATAAGCTCAAAAATATAAACTCAATAAGCAATAAATCAATAAGCAATTGATTAGCTGTTGAAAAATATTGCAACATTGCTTATGTTCTGCTGTTATAATTTTATCCCGACTCGACCACATTCAGTAATTTTCCATGGAAATGTCGGTCATCAGGTTTTACTGCCAGATTTCAGCTACCGCTTGCAAAAGCAGTGATAATCAAAGATACACCGAGCTTCGTCGTGATAGCTGATAATGTGTAATAATTAAATCGAGCGGTACAATCTGCGATGTAATTATTGACAGTGACGTGATTTTTCATTTGAAATAATACGCTAGATAGGAAGGCAAGATACCTGAAAAAGTGGAAGACAACATTAAGTAACAAAAAATAATCAAAATTATATTAGAATTAAAGAAACAAGACTAATGAATATTGAAATAAAGTTCCTTGCTCTCTTTCTTGACAAAGTTTCTTCCTTTTGTATGTGTATGGTAGGAGAAAGCTAATTTAAAAAAAAGTCACGTCACTGTTTGTAATAAATAATAGAAGCTCAAATTCGAATAGCCGTACTTATTTTGGGTTTGGCAAGAAAATTAGAAACAATCGAGTTTGTAACTTGTTTTCAGATTTTTCTAAGTTCATTCGCTAATTATCCATTGCATATCATGTATGTAAGAGCAAAGTGAAAGTTGGAATTGTTCAGAACACCCAGAGGTTCTATCTATTTTGTACGACGGTTTAGAGTTGGCACTCGCTTAAAGGACTCCTAGTCATGTAAGATATATTTGAGAAGCCTAAATAACGAATTGCGCCTAGCGAGGAGACATAATATTTTGCACATACCTTTCCGTCCTGTTAAAACTTAACAAATCAATGGTTTGCGGAATGCGGGGTTTGAGTTTCTTAGTGTTAAAAACGAATGTTCCTATCGAGTAGCGAGGATCAGTGTGTTCCCCAGAGGTTGGCCTGGGAAAATAAACGAAATCAAAAATCGAAAGAAAACATTGAGAAAGCGAGAGAAATTGCAATCGATGCGGTCTACATTGCTCATTGTTAGAAGTATTCGTGGGATTAATCCTAGAGCAGTCAGATAGGATCTGCGATACTTGATCCTAAATAATAGTAAGTGTAAAGATGGAAACTGATCGGAAGGGCAGTCTGCGAGATTTAATTTCATACGATAAATTTAAACTTAGAATTAAAAGAGAAGCTATTCAGCACCATACGTATATTCATATCTTACATCTAGTGCTAATGTCGGATATGAATATAGAATTTTCAAGTAGCTTAGTGCTGTCCTTATTTAACATGACGATATCGAGTCTCGACGGAAATGGAATTGAATAGACTTAATCGTTCTAGGACAAATTGAACATAACGAAGTCTTTAATTGAGACAGGCATTCATTTGGAAGCGACAATTATCACGAATCCCTCGCTTTCAACATAGAACAAACACAAATACGTACGTTACGTCTGAAGTCTGCCAGACTGTTTGATAATCATAATCACAGAGAGACAACTAGCTGAGCGATTATAACAGTGCTTTACGTTTCGCCTTGTCAATGATGATTTATCGTAAAGTACGACACGAGATTAAATCATCCGTTCCCCAATTAATCCTATGGAACGAAAAGAGAAACGAACGGGAGAATCGAATGGTGATTCGAGAAAATTTTTAGCTCGACATAGATAGTTGCTTCGAATGTTGTTGCAGCGCACTAAATAAGATGTACATATGACACTCGATTTACGCGAGATTGTTAATGAAGCGACATCGATTATTAGAGGAAGGTCTCTCAGGTACACAAATTATTGCGGCTATCCTTAAAGCAAGTTACAGCGATTTTTGTAATTCGACCCTGTTGGCCCGTGACGTTAGAGAGTATATTAAAGGTAGATTGTTACGAAACAGAAATTATTTTTTACAAATAGATTGTTGTAGACAGAAGAGGAATTATTTTTCGCTCGTAGTCGACCGACTAGTACCTCGCTTTCTAAAACATGCGAAATAGAACGTAATACAAAGCGTAAGCTGTAAGGAGACACGTTTTGTCTCTTTGCATTAGATTCTCGCTTCTGTAGAATCTTATGTGATGTTACATAAAACGATAAAATCGTTGATTAATCGATCGCACATGAAATACCAATGCTCACGATTCACTTAATCGAATTACCCAGTTAGTTCAATCGCGCTTCGTGTAACTTAATGTGAGATTATCGCCCGAGCTCGTGGCATAAAACAACGTGCGTTCCACAATGTTGATAATAATGTTTACTTATAGCGCACAGGGTTAAATAACGACCGTTCGATGTGATAATTAAGAGGCTTTCATTAATCTAAGAATGTTAATAAAATCAAATTACCGTGAGTATTGACGGGGTCGAAATGGTTGTTTGTCGCTTTTGTGTGTTCTTTTCTTCGTATGCAGCGCATGCGAGCTGTTAAAAAGCAATTTGCGAGTGGAGTATTTTAAAGTGCGTGTACGCTCACCTTGACAATCGATACTGAAACGTCGTTTCATTTATATATATATTGAACGTGATTTGGAGGCCGAAATTAAAGTCTACGGACGAAGTGTCCGCAGATTTTAATTTTAATGACAGATTCTGTCATGAATTCAAAACTACCCTTACGGAAAAGCACCGAAATAATTATTAGAAAATTACTGTACATCAGTAATTTCTGATAGTTCAATTACTGATATACAGTAATTTTCTAATAATTATTTCGTTACTTTTTCGTAAGGGTATCTTTCCTCTCGACAGGGTTTCATTAAAAGAAATCACTTCCTAAACGTTAATCTTTAAAATGAGGTACTTTGATAATTCTGTCTCAAATATATTCCTGTTAATGAGAAATCTATTTGAAATTAGTCTGTTCTTTTATTGAACTTTGAGAATGTAACTTTATATAGTTATGCGTGTATATTAATCCGCAATGATACAATTGCGCTTAACTCTTTACGAAATTCTAGTGAAAGCAATCAGAATGTGAGTTACAGGAAATGGTGATGAGAAGAATCCTAGATTATTTATTCTATTATAAATATATTTTTTTAATATAGGTATAGATTTTGCTATTATTGATGATAGTCTATCGGATCTGCCAGAAGCTCACGTAGTTTATTATTAGCTTTGGTAACGTTCAATCTTTAATAAAAACTCTCAATTCATTATCGATCCCTAATCGCTTTATACATGTATGTAGAAATAAAATTATCAAAAAGTTAAAAGTGGAACGACGTTAATGTAATCGTTGTTGTTAAAGCGCAGGGCATAGCCTTAACAAAATGGATTATATGCATTGCATTCCGACGTATTTTATAACGATGAGTGTTAATAAAGTCGTCTCTTCTTTTGCAGAAACAGTTCTTGTAAGTTCTATCCTACCCTTCGGCACACATTTCCCGCGAAGACAGAACGTCGTAATAATTTTAAAGTAAGCAAAACACATCGAAACTAAATATAAAGACTCTTTCCTGTATGTATATTCAATATTTGTTCGTTATAATACTACAAAATTTTAATCGACACGTCAACAGAAAGAAAACGCGTTCGCTATCAGCGCGCTCCGTCTATAGATAAAAGAAATACGAAATATGAGAGACAGCAGGAAAGAGGCAACGAACGTTGAATACAGCTGACATATATTTTCCGTCAAATATCGTATTTCGCTAATAACATTACATGATACAATAATTAAAAAATATACTGTACTTTGCGAAATTACAATCGGTACTATAAGTAAAATATATAGTAATATTAATAACATCCCCGTGACGCGTTGATTCGCTCTCGGCGTTTAGTCAACCGGCTCGCCCTCATCGCTTTTCTCTTTTCTCTTCTGTATGAGATTATGAAAACAGTTTTACAAAATATAGTGCAAATATATATGCTCGCTATACACAACAATAAGGGAGGAGTTCTCGATTATCTCTTTCTTCTCTTTCTCTCTTTTTCTCTCCCTCTGGTTTTTTCTCGCCTATTAGTATATGTATAATGTTTGATTGACATCGAGTTTAGACCTTACCTCGACGAATATGTTTGAATGATCCTTTCTGCAAAAGTAATTAATCACTATTAATAACGTCGACCTCGACCTACAATATGGCTGATTAAAAACTAAAGAATTAAGACTACGGACGATGGAACCTCGCTTGCGCGACAATTGTACAATCAGCGTACAGCTCGAAAGCGGAAATTCGTTGTGATCACGAGCAAAATCTGTCGCACGACGGATGTGTAACAAGCTGCTCAGGATTATCACTAATCGTTCCCAAGTGGAGGAATGATAAAGGCCAGAATATCGGACCTCGACAGAGAAGCACACGAAAGAAAAAAAAATCTATGGAGAGAGAGAAAGAGAAAGAGAGATAAATAAGACAAAAGCACATTTCTAAAGACTCTCTCTCTCCATGAATATGGAAAGCGATTACTGTAGTCGCTAGCGATTAATCGCAGAGCTTTTTTTCTGAGGAAAATTAAATGCTTTATTTAAGCGAACAATTTAAAAGCGCTAGTTTTATTTTCGTAAAGATATCCTTAATCGTCCCTATAGATCCGTATCGCAACGCAATTCTCCGTTTCTCAAGCAGAGCTGAACAGACAAGTTCGAGAATGTACATGACAATAGAAACGCGAATGATTTCTCTTGGAAGCGAAGATATTAGTATTGATCTGTATTAATATTGTATTGTTAGTTTCGCGATGTTAGTATTGCATTTTATGCACACACTCTCATTCTCTCTTTCTCTCTACCTTTGTGCCGGAAGATAAGCCTTTATAATACTTGTGAGTTTCGAGAAGAGAAACAAATCATTCTCACAAATAATAATACTCGAAACATACTCGAAGTTCCCGAGAATACTGTCGAAACGCGAAAGCAACCGATAATTTTACCTTGTAACACAGAATAGAGACTGGACGGTAAGGAATGTCGCATAATTTTCACAAATATAACCGAAACACTGAGTGGAAACGTGAAATACTTCTCCAGCGTCATTCGGGCCGACTCGCGTGGCGATTTCTATCGCGCAAGATCAATTAACAAACATTCTCAACGATCGTTTGTACAGTTACTACATAAGTTGTTCCTTACATTCTAATATTGCTACACTTTGTTCTTCACGTTAGATCACTAAGCTCTTTTTTTTTGGAATACTGCTTCCACATCCGCGAAAACTCGAGGTGCGAAAAAGTAGAAGACGATTAAACTTAAAAGTTTTAGAATTACGCGAAGAAACATTTCGAGCAAATTTTACGCCCAACGATAACAATTTCATTATCACTTAGCGTTGAGGCGCTTAACAGAGGGATTACACAGAGTGAGGCACTTAAGATGATAATTCTTGGCTGATCACGCGTAACCCGTTGCGATTTGAGAATTATGTATTCTTAGAAGAGTTGATATTTCTTAATATTACAATATAATTGAGAATCATAAAAATAATATACATTATGTGACAAATAAAGCTCCACTTCTGTGCGTTTTTTATTGTAAAAAAATTTTTTTTTAATTGCTCGATAATAAAAATACGTTGAAACATTGGGTATACGTTTCGACACTACTTGTAAATCTTCATATTGAATATAAAATAAATATTGAATTTGCGGCGAAATGCTAAGATTTATGTTGCAATGATTTTTATATGTAATAAACATATTTTTATATGCAATTAACATACTAATTATTATAACATAGATCTTGCAAAATGATCCATGATTTATTTTATATCTCTCTATGTGATCCCCAAATATTATCTCAAAGTAAATGTACAATTGATTAACCAATCGATAAAAAACAATGCTAATTAACTCTAAACCTGCTCAAACCTGTATACGAAAAAAGATATATTAAGTAATGAAAATATTGCAACGAACATCTTAAGTGATTCACCCTGTACATTAGTGAAAAGTGGTTTTTTTAATGAAAACAAGCTCAAGACAAAAGCAATTCTTTCCAAGTACTACTAATAAGAAACAAAGAAAAACAATTCTTAATCATATTTAAGAGATTAGCAAGAATAAAATTTGGTTTCTCGCCATCTAAATTTAATAATACATCGATAATGCATCGCGTAAGATTTAAGTTTCCTTAAAAACTTGAAACTGTCAGTGGAGACCGTTCAAAATAGGAATCTCTCATCATGGTTGCATTATTCATATCGCGTTTATTCTACGCTCTATAGAAGTAGAGCCTTCATTTGAATTCTAAGAGCTTTTTGTCAGAGTTCTACAGAATGTAGGGCCGTCATTTGAGTTCTATGAGGAATAGAACTCTCGTTCGAACTCTACGCAAAATAGAGCTTTAATACGAGAGCTAAACTAGTGCCGTCTATACTGTTGGAATTATATGCACTCGTAAAAAAAAAATATGGAACACTCTTCATAAGCCAAAAATTAGCTATCTTTAAAACCCCCTTTTTTAGCTTATAAAAAGTGTTCCATACTTTTTTTTACGAATGTGGAATATAAATCTTTCGTTAGTTTCGCACTCTTCCTTTTTCTTATTTATACGCATATACACGCACACATACGTTCCCGCTCGTGCGAACATATTCTCCCCTCCTCTTTTTCTACTTTCCGTTCTATTTTTCTATCTACCTTCGCTACTTTGTAGTACTTTGTTAAGTGCATAATGGCATAAGTGTGTAAATCATATATAGTGGTACAATTTAAATATATATCAGAATCTTCCGCTGCCGAGAGATAAATATAAAACTAATGTGTACGATATAATCATGCTGCCCGGCCTACTGTCTGCATTTTCTTTATGTACACCTGCGAGCTACCCTCGCGAAATAATTCGCGCCTCTCAGAAGCTTATTTAGTACTCGCGAGCCTTTAGTCTATGCCGTACTAGTCTCGGCAGATTATATCAGTTACTTTATAATAAGATTATGTTGGTCCGGAAGTATTCAGGAATATTGGACGCGTCGTGTACGAGAACGGCCGGACAGCTTCCATTCTCGTCGCGACTAACAGTACGTCCGCAACGTTACGTTATTATTGGTCCTTCTCTTCGCAGAACACACAACATTTTTTTGGTCAAAGAGCTATACAAAATTCTGTTTGTACTTCAACGCTGTGTGGAGAATCGCCGCCGGCTAATCGGATTCATTCTGAATGCAAAGTAGCCCTCGTGTGGTCATTAGTGATTAAAATTAATTAATGTATCGCTCGTGAACTACAACTATGCGCGGTATACATATTTCTTTGTATGTCTCTTTCTTTATGCGACAAAAAACGCATGACAAAGTATTCAGAACGTTCGGGAGAAAAATAAGGCAGAAATTCGGTAATCTTAATTATTATGTATGATATGACTCTTCAGATAAAAATATACAAATGTAAGCTGTATAAACTTTTCTTTTACTTTTACCAATGAATAGCTCTTTAAATTAAACAATTGTCAATCTTGTAAAAATTGAGGTATATATCTACAAGTGCGTTATTATGTTAACAACGTGATAACGTTGTCTTTTGGTCAGATCACGTAAATTTTGGAAAGATTACCTCTTCGCGCGTATCTCGTGCTCCTTCAATTACGCGGCTCGTAATCGTGACTTTCCTCCGAGCGTCCTGGATATTTAAAAAAATATTTGATCTATCTTAATTGCTAAAGCCTGAAAATAAAAAATGTAACGTTTAGGTCCTATTGTTATTGGTGTTATTGCCGCTGGTGGTGGTGTTGTTGTTGTTATTGTTGTTACTGTTAGAATTAAGCGGACTGCTGATGTTGTCGATCTCGCGCTGGGCACGCGAGATCTTCACTTTGTCTCGCGGCGTGCCATCCTCGCCGGTCTCCATCGCGAACATTTTCATTTTCTCCTTGAAGCTGAGCTTCTCCGGCACCGCGCCAATCTGTGAGTTCTGCTGCTGCTTCTGTTTCTCCGCCAGTCGCTTTTGCCTCGGGTCCCTGAAACAGTGAACCATTTAAAATACTTACGCCAAAGGACTTGCTTGTTCGGTAACGCAACAGCTCTTTAAATCTTAGTGTGTATGCAACACACACTCACTTGTAGACTTCTTGAGCCCCAATCACACCGGGGGTGGCGCCAGTAAACGAAGTCCCGGATCCGTCCGGTGTCTTGGGAGAGGCTAATAAATTCTCCGCGTCGTTGATAAAATTCTGAAAGCACAATTACATAATGGAGTATACGTATATCAAATTGGCAAATATATTAGGCGAGTGCAAAAGTTCGTGCCGGATTTTTTATTAAGTCATTTGGTTATATGGCATGTAAAAGTCTTTATTCAATAAGCCAAATAGTTTCCATCATTTTCTGTAATCTTTTTGCAATATTTGAACTGTACCTGTAGTTATCACAATCATAGAATGCGCATTTTTTCCTCAAAACAATTTTAAAATATAGTCTTTTAACGCACGAAAGATGGAGGAGTTTTCTGTTCAAAGTGTTCTGCAATGAACGGAACAAGTGGTAAAGATGCGACATAAAAATATATACTGAAGGAATGTGCAGCAGAAAATTCGAATTTAGCTCTGCTGCTCATCTTATGCTGGTATGGATCGATATGTGAGATCTGGCATTACGTAGTGAAAGACAACATCTTCCTAAAATCAAACAACTTCTCCTGGATTGCATTCTTCAAATTATTCAACTGTTGATCTCGTGCTCGTCGGGATTAATTATTTGGTTAACGGAAAACTGTTAAAAAACTTATAGTTTCACCAAACAGATAGTATTAGTCTCTTCTGATAATGCTTGTACTTGGCTCACGTAGATAAGTTTCGGTAATATTTTTCATGATCAACTGTTGCATCTTTTTCGAATTTGTGTAATATAAGATGCCGAGAATAAACTTCTTCGTCATTTGTTGTACTTTTTCTCGCGTTTCAATCAAGACAAATCACTTGATGTTCAAATGCTAAGAATGGCATCCTTTAAGCGGTGTATAATATGTAAATATTACGAACATTGCTGTCGAATATTGTGCAACATCAATAACGACATTTACAAAAATCGGGTACAATCTATGTTGCACTCGTCCAATATAAATTAATATAAGTCTCCAAAAAGTTATAAATATATATCAATAACAACACATTATGTCTTGCGCAATTTGCATATACATGTACAAGGACTTCGATAAGAATGTAATCCAAGACAGCTAAGATTACTAAGCAATCTATTTAATACAAAAAATTTGAAGGAGACAGAGATAGAATTAATTTATTAAATGAATTAAATTAAAAAATCTTAAGTAATAAAAGTGCATCATCATTATCAGTCATTATGGTGCAAGTTAAACTATTATAATTCGTTCAATTAATGTAATTTATCTTAATGAATAATAAATTTGACATGAAAATGCAAAGTATCTAACATGTAATATATTATGAAGCATGATAAGTCTCATTGTCAGATTAAATTCTTACCGAAGAAAGATCGAGTTTAAAGTCAGACATATTGTTGGAGCAACAGGTATGTAATTTTCGGGGGCAAACAGCGTAGTATACTCGTAAAGCAACGACTATAGAGACTAGCATTAGTCAGATACAGAACATGAAACATGAATATAGATCACATAGGAAATGTAGGATGAAATATGAATAGAACATTTTAGATACAGCGAATGATGATCCTTCGAATGAAACGTACATGATTATTAGGCGAGAATTACTATAACTGACAGCTCATGCATTGTAAACATCGTAACGTAGACAGCATGATGTAGCACGATCTGTTTTAACATTTATACCTTACTTGTTTATCTGCCATCGTAAGCATTTCGACAAGATGTTCATATTTATAATAAATTTTTGTACTGGCGATATGAATTAATCCCATAAGGGGATATTAATTTCTTAATTAATTACCTACACTACAGATCGCACATCGGAAAATAGGAATGAGATCTGTTGTCTCAAATTATTTCTCGCAAAACAAAATTAGTACAAAGGATAATGTGACAAAGATACTAAAGTAATATTACAAAAAAAAATGCGAAATACTGATTTACAATTTTTTAAATCGATATCAATTATGTCAAAAGAAAGCGTAGAATAAATTAGAAGTAAATTAAAGCAGGTAAATAATAAGAGTTACAAGAAATAGATGCAAGAAAACCACTCACGTTGGGATCTTCTCGAATGGTGTCCATTGAGATTGACGGCGGATTTGAAGTTCCAGATGACACATTGCGCAGCATTGACTCGCTATTTGCATTCGAATCGTGAAAAGACACCCTTTTCATAGACGCTGGTTGTTGAGAAGTGGGAGGTAGATTTGATGTGGTCGAGCCGTTTGATCTGAGAGCACTTTGCTGAGACATAACGGCGTAACTGGAGCCTCGTTCTGGTGGCGGAGGTGCATCGTTTACGTTATTTTGCGAAGCTATATAAAAGAAATATCTTCAGTAAAATAATAAAACAAGAAATATGCAATACATTCAATAAGCACAAAAAAAATATAGTATATCTGTGAATCTTTCGTTAATAGAGCAAAATATGTATTTCTAGACAAATTTTCTTTAAAGAAATATGAGAACAGAAATCAAAATTCGATATTCAATCCATAAAGTAACTTCACGTTTAATCTACTAACGCATAGATACGTTGGGACCATTGATAATCAAGTTATCCAAGCGCAACATGCCGGGGTGCAGCTGGCTCCGCTGATGTTGGCTCGGCTGATACGTTTGCTGCTGTGATTGCATCTGCTGCTCCTCCTGCTTCTTCTGGTTCTCCTCGTATTCAGCCTGCTTCCGCTTCACCTCGTCCATTCTTCGTTGCAGTTCTCTGTCTTCCACGGAATGCGACGTGCCGATGGAATAAGATTTCTGACTGGAACTGAAGTGGCCAAGAGATGTGCCATAACTAGGTGTCGATACATGTTCTTCGCTCTGACTTGCCGCTGCTTGTTGTTGTTGTTGTTGTTGCTGCTGCTGTTGTTGCTGACTTGGTTGCACGTGCAAGCCACTATGTTCTTGACCAGGACCACTCATCCCAACATTCTGAGACACCGTTTGATTGGTCAGAATGTGAGCATGGCTGCTGGTGACTGATTGACTGCTGAGGGGTTGGAGAGGTAAACCACTTCTCATAGACTGGTTGCCTGTGATCATTCTCGATAAAATTGGTGGCTGCAGACCTCCTTGAAGAGCTCTATCCTGACTGGCCGCCATTCTGAGCAAACCTTGAACGCGCTGCACACTCTCGTTGTCTACATCGTTGCTCTCCTCGTCATCGTCCTGATTGGCAATCTCCTCCGCTCGCTTCTGGAAGTCTCTCTCCAGTTGAAGAGCTCGCAGTTGCTCCTCCTGTTGCTGCGTTCGATGCGTCAGCGCGCTCAGCTCGGCGATCTGCTGATCTCGCCATTGTCGAGCGGCTTCTCTCCTACGGGCTTGTTCCTGAAGATACCAATCAATATCAAATAAAAATGTTTTATTATATTAAAAATATATATATAATGAAATTACAAATTCTAGAAATCTACTAAAGTTCTTAATAAGTTCTTGTACAATTGTTCACAAATGGACAAAAATTTCAATGTAAAAACCAGAATCTAAAAATTATTGCTTAAATTGATTTGCACTTATTAACGCTTTCGCTCATTATTCTTTCATTCATTACCTTTTCTCTCTCTTCTCGTTGCCAAGGATTTGTCGCACTATATTGATACTGACGCGGTTGCTGCATGGCACTGATTCCTCCCGCAGGGTAATAACTACCTCGTGGTGGATCCTGCATGCTTGCGGTATACCTGCAACATTTTCCTTCGTTATCCGGGATCTTTAATTACCAACAAGCGACTTGCAAAATACGACTTGCGTACCTTGTATCGGCTTGCTTGTACAGAGGGTGCGTCGAAGTGCTGGGCGGTGGTGGTGGTGGGCTGTCGCTGAATGTATCCTCAGACGGTAGAGTCGGTCTCGTGGGCGGCACTTCCGACGTCGTCATAGAGTGGCTCTCCCCGTTTTGTGCACGATTGACAATGTTCTCGTTCCCATACTGATCGACACGCTGGTCCAGATTGCCGTTCGGATAGTGCGGACTGTTCTGCGAGCCGGCAAACTGTCGGTTCTGTTCAGCATAGGACTTGGTCTCCTGACTGCTCGATTCTCTACCGAGCAGATTCTCATTGGGCATCGGTTGATGGCCGCGCGCGACCGTCTCGTTCTTCGGCTTGGGCATCATCGGGCCGTATTGACCTCCGATACCCGGATATCGGTTGGGATGATACTGATTATACGGACCGTACTGACCATACTGCGCGCTGTTATACTGAGATGCGTACTGCGCGTCCGGGTAATTGTAACTGGGCGCGTTTTGCCTCGCGGCGTAGCTGGAGGTCGGGCCCAGACTCGACGTGGAACCGAGTGGTCTTGGCGAGCGTACGTTCAAGGTATTCAACATCTGTTGAGTGGGAGGAGCTGCCACTCGAGCACCGATGTTGTACATCCCCGGCGGTCTATGCTGATTAAGCAGCGGCGCGCAGCCACGCAACTCCCGTCGACGAACCTCCTCCTGCATCTCCTGCATCTTCGCCTCTTGGCGGATAATGTCGCGCGAGGATTGGGAACGCGGCGGTGGTCCGCCACTGTGTTGTTGCATCTGATTGCTGACCGCCGAGTAGCTTTGCTGCTGGCCTTGGATGACGTACGCGGACGTCGGACGGTCTCGGATGTGGCCGCCGACTTCCATGGCAGACGGACGGTTCAGCGAGTTCTGCGAACCTCTCAGGGTACTCTTTTGAACGTGCTGAGGATTCCTGCAAGGCGCAGCAGAGAATTTAGAAAATGTTGAGAACATTTAAGAAAAATCATAACATCATTTTGAATCGAATCATAAAGAAAAGAAATGCTTAAAAATAGGGAAATATAAAGTTAAAGATATATAAAAATTGTACTGTATATCTATACCTATCATCTGGTTGTTGTGGATTAATTTGTTGCTTCACCGCCGAGTCTTGATTTCGATAAATACTCAGATTCTGATAAAATCGCTCCGCTTCCGTGCCATGTGCATTCGACGGTGCGTTCATGTGCGTTGTATTTGGATTTAAATTAGGTGACGATTGCTGCCTGTTGACCAAGCCGGTGGGCGGTAAAGTTCCGATTCTCATGGGATCGTGCAAGTTGTGGCTCGACCTAACACGTTATTGTATACAGAATAATTCATAATACTTTACAGAATGTACAATTTATAATAATACTGAATATATCAATACACGAAGAAAGAGTTGATTGAACTAAACTTTTGATTTCAGATCCTATAAGACATTTTCGAAAAAATTGCGCTTAATAATTCCTGGAAGTTATTTCCAGTTTCCTTCGGATAAGTTGTACGAAACTTCGTTTAACGCGAAAAAACTGAAAATTAAAATATACCTGGAACGTAAGGAAGTTGCGCTGTTGATCGTCGCCATAGGGGGCGGTTGAACAGGCGGTGTAACGCTGTTGCTGGAAGAAGCCCTGCTGTATCCGGGATTAAACACCTCGTGCTGTGGCTTGGTCTCGGTACCCATATCTACGTGAATCCAATTTTTATGTACAAGCGAGTAAACGTATCCTCACGTACTTTTCTATCGGATATATCTTTGTCCTACTTAAATTCATCATAAGAGATAGACGTTCCTCTTATGTTAAAGCTGTCTAGTGAAAAACCCGATGAAGCTGCGTGATTCGACAAGAGACAGACGTTGCTTTTTACGCTAATCTCTCTGGTGAAGAAACTCGACAAAGCCGCGTGATTCGGGCATGATATGCACACACAAAGCTCGTTCTTACTTACTATGCAATGCCGGCACAGACTTGCTGCTGTGGATTTGCTGAGGAGTGGCGTCGTGTCCAAGCCGCGACGGTAAATCCCGCTCGCTCATGCGACGAGGACCTGCGGTAGCCCAAGCGGGTACACAAAGAGACAGCTTTGAGTTAATGCATTGGTGAACACGAAGGTGCCGAAGCGAAATATTAAAATGATCACTCATGCACATACGCAAAGCATTTGTCGAGAACGAAAACGCTCTCTTGGCTCATCGAAGTCTAACTTTGACACGTTGAAAGCGGCGGAAAAAGAAAATGTCATACGGCCAACTGTGAAGACATTTATGGCAATGACGAGCTACAGTGAACAAGTTTGTATATGCATTGTTTCAACAAACTATAATCCTCGCTAGTCGGATGTAGTAGATAAAGTATCGATACGATTAATTAACTGATATACAATGTGTAGTTTATAATTGTAATAAAATAACAAAAACAATGTTGCATTGGATTCTGCAGAAAAGGTATTATACATAATAAATTAAATATTTACTTAAACATATTGTTGCATGCACGTTTGCGTTATGTGATCAGTTCGTGAGTTAGATTTAATGTGATTAATTAGACATCAAAGAATATATGTATAATTTATACAATAAAAAATACTTATTTTGTCACAATTACTATGCAGTATTATAATTAAATAATCGCATATATTATACATAATGTAAGGCATTATCCTTACACATAACTATAATTATATGCACGCAATATCGCAGATGTATTGTTAAGCACATTACTGTGAGCATAGCAATGGGACAAAAAAAGTACCTGAAAGTTGTATTAATGTATCATGCCCGCGTATTAGCAGAACATTGTGTTATTAAAGAACAAAAATACATTAGTGTCGTATTTTACAATTTGCGGGGTAACACTTGCAAATCTAGGTTTAAATAATGTAAAACCAGATGATGAAATTAATTTGATATAAAATGTAATGTTAATCGATGCATTTGTATCAAAATTTGACCAAATCAATTTCCTAATTCTGCTAAGTCTTTGGCTTCTCTTAACTTTGTTTAAGAAAAGAAGTTTGAAATTCTTGACGTACATGACAAAAATTGCAAAAATTTTATAACATTGCAGCCTGCGGTCTATAATCTTGTAAAAATAATTTGGTCAATTTTCGATTTCACCGTTTTATCAACCATGCCATAAAACAATTAACGTATCATTAAAAAAAGATGTGAGGATGTTGAAAATCATTTGGACATCACGGTCGCGTTATAAATAAATATGAGCAAACGCAATGTATGTACAGATCTAATAAATCGTGCGACACTGATCCGTCTGTGAACGTTGATTTCCCATTCGTCTCATTCAGGCGGAATAAAAGTGCTTGAAGAAAGAAAAATTCGACTAAATGCACATTCAACGTATAACACGTGGTGGTAGCTTACGCAAGACGGACCGGTCATCGTTTCTCAGCGAGCTGATCTCGCGGAAGCTCCAACCGTCCCTCTCCGAATCGGACTTCCGTCTCGAAACGTCAAACTCGCTCTGAGATTTTCGTTCCGCTCGCAAGCGTTCCACGTCTCTTGTCTCGTTTTTACGTGATAATTTAAGAGAGCTGTCTCTCGGTCGATCGGAGCTTGTGCACTTTGTGCGAAATCTCTTTTTCAACATCCAGTCAGATCTCTGTACTTGAGCAGTTCGATCTAGATTCGTCCAGCTGCCTTGCTCGCGCGAGTCTTTCTCCAATTCTTCGAGAGACAGATGACGATTCCATTGCGCGCCCTTGCCATCCTTGGAATCTAATTTATCGTCAAAGGATTTGCCAAGTTTTGTTTGGACTTCGGTAGCTTGAATCAAAGCAGAACTCGTCGAACTGTCTCGCTTCCTCGAGCCTTTTTTCGATTTCAACTCTTCGAGGGAGCGATGACGATGCCATCGCGTACTTCCCTTGGGGCTTGAGATCGATCTATTCCAAGACTTACAAAATGAATCTTCGCAAAGATTGTCAGAGGATCGCGTTTGATCGTCAGAATCAGTTAAAAATTTATTACTCGAAATACTTTCGCAGCTTCGCGTCAGCTTGGTGGATTTGTCATGAAGATCTACGGCTCTCTCAGTCTCCTTTTTTCCACAAATTGCGGCACCGATCAGATTGTTCTCACTGTTACAGAGAGGTCTGGCAATTCGCATTCGTAGAACGTTCAGTTTGTTATCACTCAATCGTGAATATGCATTTGTACGTCGCGAAAGCATCAACGAGTTCTCTGAGGAGCAACTCTTAACAGCGGAACGAGAAATATCTACGAATAGGCATTTGGGATGTTTTTCGCAATATCGATGAGCCTGTGACCTGACATCTTCCAAGGACAAAGAACTCTTCGCAATGTTCGAGAGCGATAGTACGATGGAAGAATAGGGAGGCGAAGAGAGAGGCAGGGAAGAAGATGACGAAGAGTCAGAAGATTTTTTCATTTTTCGAAAGTTATCGTTTTTCTCGATCAACGATGATAATTTCTCTCGAGCTGTCGCTTCTGATTGATCTATCGGATTTGACGAGTCGCTAAAAGCAAATATATTGTTATTTTCACTTATCATGGAAATGCAAGAGGCCATGTCTTGCTCCGGAATAAACAGAGGCGCATCGGTGTTGTCCAGATTTGAAAACTGCTCGAGTTGCTCTGCGATCACTTGCTGCTGCTTGAGTGAGAGCTTGGAGCTGCTATCTTTGATATTAACTGGAAACAACTTCTCCACATTTTTACTTTCCATTGTAGATTTGCTGTTGTCGATTGCCGTAATGTGTGCAACTTCTGCGTCCTTTTTTATATCGAGAAACCCCTGGTCTTCGCTATCATTACTCGATACATTTTCAACCTTTGACGAAGCTATGTTTTTCGTACCAAGTAAAGTTTGATTTTTAACTTTGATAATATTCTGATCATGATTCTCGTCCAGAATCGAATCTTTCTTAGTATCAATCGTAACTTGTTCGTTCACTGGGATCCTGGCAATTGTGACTCGTCTAGCGCCGCAATGATGAAGCCTACATTCCTCAATCGCGAAATCGCCGTTGGCTTCGACGTCAACTAGAACAATATTGTTGCGTCTCCCAGCTGAGCAGATCCGAGAGTTTTCGTCGCCTTCCCTCGCCAAGTCCGAGTCCGACTTGTATTCTTTCTGCGCGTGACAAGGTCGATGCAAATGTTCGTCGCTCTTGTCCGGCGTTATAATATTCGGTTCCGACACGAATTGACGGGAGCCGTTTAACTTGGTGGACTTGAATTTGATCAGACCGGCATCGCCAAGTTTCGAGAAATGTTTCGCTAGCGCTGCGACTCTGCCGCACCCTAAACGCACTTCTTCCGGTGACTTCCAACATTTCTCTGTTTTGGACTCATCACTAGACACATCGCTGTTCAGCCCGCTTAGATCGAGATGCAACTCTGGCATTATCGTGTACATCTTAGGAGTCGAGATTCCTTCCTCGGCATCTTTATCGGCTCTACTCGACGCACAATCATCGTTAATCGTGGAACTGGACTCATCCGCGCAATCTTCGGAATTGGAAATGTCGTCCAATTTATCCTCATCGATATCCGATGTACGTTTCGTGGTATCGTTTACGCCTTGAAGTTGTGACAAGTTACTCGATTTAGCTTCAACAACGGAACTTGGCCCAGCTGTAGCGTCTTTGACGAACAATACTGATTTATGTGCAGGAAACGAGCCAGTGATCGATGAGAAGTTTGGAATGTTACGCATATCCAACTCGAAATTAGATCCTGGAACAGTCAGAGTCTGCTTTCTATTGCGTTCTACATTTATGCGTTTCTGAGAGTCTCCAAGATTAAAATTGTTGTCACAACCGGCTTTAATACAATGCTCGCATTTGTTACTCGGTTCCGCCTGAACACATTCAGAGAATTCTGTGTAATTAGTCTCGTCAGTTTGATCGATGTAAGGTATAGCATCGAAAAGATTTTTATCGAAAGTCAACGGCTCCGTCAGTAACGAGTATTTGTGATCTTCCGTAGTGCCCGCATACTCCTGCGGCGGAGTGGTGATCCTTTCGAATGGATCCAAAGTATCCGTCGAATAATTCGAATTACTCGAATTCGCGGCTCCACCTTGTTCCGTGTTACCCTCTTCTTCCTCTATGATCTTATCGTCGCTCTCGTCACTCTCATCCTGATATATAATAGATGATATTTCGTTGTCGCTCGTGATAGAAATCAGGGGACAGGGCATACGAGGTCTCAGGAGACGCACGGGAGACACGGTAGGGGTGGAAGGACGATAGACGTGTTCCCTCTCGTCGACGGCGCCGCGATACGCGTCGACGGAATAGACACCGGAATACGCGCCTCTCTGACGGAAGATGGAGAACGGATCTTGCCGCATGGAACGGTACTCGTCGACGTTGACTCGTGGAAAACCTCGGTCGAGTTGATTATGATAAAAGAATGTCTCGTCGTATTGAGACGGGATCGCACCTGATTGAACTGAATCCTGATACGGCGTCTGCTTCGGTACGGACAATAAGTCGCCCATCGAGTGTGACGTGGCTGGTTGATTATTGGTCATCTCCGTCGCCGGCTCTAAGAGCTCGGACCTTGGCCGTGTCTTATATGCTGCATGAAACATGTGGTTAGTCAAGCGTTAGTAAAGCAGGCTCTTTTCGAGCGAAGCGAAGCGAAAGGCGTTATTCTGACGGGGCGGTTATTCGGATTAGAAAGTGTCCACGGACGATATATCTGACCAGTATTTCGTACAAAATAGGATCTTGCTCACATACGCTTTAAGCAAGAAAGTGATAAACATAATTGTTTGGAAAGAGTTATTTTATATATCATTAAATTCAATTTATAGTAAATTATTAACTGTATAATTTCATGATAGAATTTTACTACAATAACGTAATAATTTTCTATTTTGATACAAATAAATTTATAATTTTACAATAGAAAAAACTGAACTAATATTTTGTAATATATTATACATTGTACGAATAAATATATTCTTTTTGCGAGCTTTATTAATTAAAAACTAATTAGATAGAACCTAATTGCAAGATCTCCATTATCTTTTTCTTGCTCCGAAGGCTTTATTAACTCTGCAAATTATTTTATTCGTTATTGTTATTAATCTTCGAACTTACCTCTTGTCATCACAGGAGAAGGTTGAGATAATAACGTTGCAAGTCCGTGATATATAGCGCCCTGTTTTGCGACTTCCAATGTCACGATCGGACCGGTACGCACAAGATACTCGGCGGCCCTGCGAACCAATTTTAATGATAAAATATTTTAAACATTGTTAAGGAATTTATCAAACTCATATTAAATAAAGCTTATCGTACTTTTCCTGCGTAATCCCGACCAAACTTTGTCCGTCTACCTTGAGTAGTTGATCGCCCGCCGTTAATCTACCATCCTAGAAGCAGATATATAAAAGTAAGTTTGCTTGCTTAGTAACGCATGGAAAATTTTTATCTTTAACTTGCTTATGTAGATTTAAGTTCTGATTTCATAATAATCACAATTCTTCTCAATTTTATTTATTGTTAAAATTGTCTTGTTACTTTTTATTTCAAAGAAAAAATATATCTGATCATATTCAATTAAAACTTGTCACATTCTAAAAATGCTATTCTAAGCAAAATATTATTTAATAATAATTTATATGTATTGAATATTATTACACACTTCACACAATTTTAATATCATTAAAAAATGTAGAAATGTAGAATATTTTCAAGTAAATGACGATTACTTACAGCGTCAGCGGCTCCGCCAGCAACAACGCTTTTGATATAGATACCTAATCGGTCCTGTCCTGCGCCCTATGCGTACAGAATTAAAATTGCAGATGTCATGTAATCACATTATATAATAAATAAGAATGGGCAGGTTTAAATAAGATATACACCTTTGCTGCAACGATGCTTAAGCCCATGCCGTTGGTACTCTTGTGCAATTTAATAACATGTATCTCAGGTTGAGCCTGGTTTTGATTGATGTGACCGATGTAGCCACCCGATCTGTTACTCATTGCGCTGGGACTACGCAACTGCAAGAAATAAAAAAAAAACTGTACCAAAATATTTTTCCATAATTATTAATTAAATTGGAAAGGTCTGACACATATAAAGACGATAGGCGCTACAATTTGCTAATTCATTTTCATATTAAAAACTATGCGAAGATTTGTGAAGTTATAAAAATTTGCAGCTTACATTGTTGTGATGATCTATCATATAAATAGTCCAATAGCCACTACTGGTGGGTTGAGCCGCCATTCGACACAGACCGTCTCGTTGTAGAGGTGCCAGAAATTCTGCTAGTCCTGGCGGAACGCCTCTTATTACTTCGCAGCTGTAACCATCCTCGGGAAGTAATAATGCCAATCCTAGGACAGGTTCTTCTTCTAATCTTATTTCACGGCCATCTGCACGTGCAAGTGTATCCGCGACACTCTCTGCTACCTACAAGTTACGAAGAACAGGGACATCATGTAAATATATATATATTTTTTCTTTGTAAAATGACATTTTATGTCAGCAAAATACAGATTATAGTATTTTTAAATGTACTCACTCTCACCACGTTCTCAATCAATTCGGCAGGTAGCCTCGGCTCATCCGCAGCCGGTTGATATTTCTGTAGTAACGCCCTCACTTGCAGTGAATTCAATTTAAAGCAGGTCGAACTTAGTGTGGCCAACTCCTCGGCATTATATTTGGGAGCCTGTAGTAGATGTGTCGCCTGCATGATCGTCGCCAAATGGCATTGACTCGCGAGTTCCAAGCCTTGCCTCTCGGCCCAGGTCTCCAGTGCGTTCAGCCTCGCTTTGAGTCTGCGTCCGAACCACCTGACGCATAGATTTCCGTTCGAGACGAGGGTGTTGAAGGCTGTCGCGTTGATCGCGTGAAACAGGTGACTGAACAGCTGTATCGTCAACGCGGCATTCACCCGGCATCGTCGCAGTAAGGCCATCGTGTTTGAGAAGATCTGCAGCACCCCAGCCTCCTTTGCCGGCTCATCTGCATCCGCCATGAATTGTGTCATTGCCGGCGTGAGTTCTAACGTGACGCAGCGCACCAGCGAGCCGAAGGCTGTATGCACCGCGTCCGCCAGGATGTCTTGCGCCCGTGTGGAAAATGCACCCACGTGCCGGTCACTTTTCAACATGTGTAGCAGCTCGGAGCCGTTCGCCAACCAGAAGGCCAACGACGAAGCGTCCATGTAACGTTCCTGGAAACATGATTTTCTTCCAGACTGCTATTCACATATATTATAATATAGATAATCGCTTGTGCCACGGTTATATTTTCTCAAATATCTGAACTAGGATACTTTTTTTAAAAATATGTTCATTGAAATAGTTGAGGAATATTCCAAAGTTTACATATGAGCCATTTCCAAATCGTTTTATTAATCGAAACAGAAGGATAAAATAATTCGCATTCAAATACCTGGATAACACGTTGGATCATGGTAGCGACATTCGCCAACATGACGGTAAGTCGATGCGCTCTTTCCGTGGGCTGCAATTCTGGTCTGTAGTGGGTGCTGGCGCGATATCTCGCGCTGAGATAGAGGGTATAAGTTGGCGCCAACTTGAAATGTGGCGCCGAGGGCTCTACATCGGTGATGACTGCGTGGAGGAACGTCTCCTCTGTCTCCTCGAGGAACTCCAAGACAGCTGGCAGGATCGGATCCGTGCCTCGCGGTTGCCGATCGTATTGTGAGAGCCTGCCAATAATCGATAGGCATTAATTTCCCCCCTTTCGCTTCAGCTATTCGAACTTTCAAGTCTTCCTTTTCAAAAGTAAATGTTATTAATATTTCGAGAAGTTTGACAACATAAATTTATACAACATTGTACATTTCCATTAAACATGAATAATTCTACGAATATATTCATAATACATAGTAAGGGTTAAAGGTGTATATTCTACTATGCCCTGTGCTACTCTAAAAAATGCTTAATAACGTATAATATAATAATTGTGCATTCGAGAAACCGAAAAAAAACTTGTCTAAATCGGCAAGCCGTATATAAAGCTGTTAAAAGAATTTCAGAGAAGCTTCTAAATCGCAAAAAATAATGAAATTACATCAAGCATACTAAGTCGTTTTATAAAAAATTAGTAGAATTTTCACATCGTAACTATTCGCGATAAAGGTTTCATAATAAGGATCTTTGCATTATAATCAGGACTCTCTCTCTCTCTCTCTCTCTCTCTCTCTCTCTCTCTCTCTCTCTCTCTCTCTCTGTTACAAATGCGACTCTGTAACTCTCCAAATATCTTTTTTCCACTAGATGAAGTGTCATAAACCGTTCCAGAGTCATCGGTCTGGTTTGCTACCTGTTGCCGTCCCTGCTGCTGCTCAGACTTGCGGTCTCCACGTTTCCGTCCAGGTCGAATGTGGTCTCGTAATTGTGCGTAGGCTCCGGCGGGTGCGTGGGACTACGTGGACTACGAACTGCGGCGACAGCGGACTTGGAGGGGCTCGACGGGGCCGCTCGCTCCTGGGCCTGGCCCGGGATCTGGCCACCGCCGTTCAGCGTTCCAGATCCCGGATGAAACTTCTCCGAGCTGACGTCCTGACTGGTCGCGTCCGGCGAGCGTCTATCATTTGCGCGGGTGCGAAGCGAACATCACAACGGTAAAGCAAACGTAAAGCGATATCGAGCAAAATAAACGTAAATGGTAAAGTAAAAAAGTAACAAAGAAAAACCGTGAAATGCGTTTCAATAATACAATCTCCGTCGAGAGTGTGGAAGATCTTTAATAAAGTATTATATTGACTAGACATTTCTATCAAAAAGATTCTTTTAATCTCGTCTCTTTTTTCTCATTTGGTAAAGAGATTTGTACTGTGCTACTCAATTTACGAATTCTAACATTTGTCGAAAGTGCTGTATACTTTCGCAACCAGTGCGTTAATGAAGGACTTTACTATTCAGGTAACTAATAAAAATCTATATACATGACATTTTTTAATTCACTAAGATAATTATAACGAGCTGAACTATTGTTATAAGTGCGTTCACATAGAGATACATGAAGGAGATACATGTACTGACTAAATTGCAACGAACGTGCAACATTCGTGCGGCACGCCTATTCTCACCTGAGCGCAACGACGAGGGAAAAGAATACGTGTTTCTCCAACTTACCGGTCGTAAGCGTAGTCGATCTGTTTGTTGGAGTCCTGTCTCTGCCTAATGCGCTCTTCCGGCGCAGGGTCGATGAATCGAAAGGTGTGCATTCTGCCGAACTTGATGATAGCTCCATTCTGCAAGCGTAAAACGTTGAAGGTTATTATTCGCTCTTCAAATCAACGCGTATACAAAATTAAATATTAATCTTTCTGTACTCGTTGCGACCCAGGATTAAAAAGAGCAATCAAAAGTTTTTGAGTCACAGTCTTATGAGTACCAGTCAGCTCTATAACACACTGGAGTGAGTGGTCCTATCGTTTCCTACACGGAGAGAATTTTTTTTAAATTTAAAACTATGTATTCGTGGGACAACATGGCATTTTGAAGAACTGTATGAGTTTTCTGAAATTTTACTATACATTCTACTAGTCAAATGTATGGCAAACTTTCCAAAACCTCTCATACAGTTCTTCTAAATGCCGTGTTGTCCCACGATTAAGTACATGATTCAGGGTAAATTTTAACAGAAAGTTTTCTCCGTGTATTGTTCTCGATGTCGCCGAGAGTGAGATAGAAAATCGTCAAAACCAATCAAATAATAAAGAAAGAGACAGAGATTCACCCAACAGCACCTCCCCTCCTCTCTCTCGGCGACATCGAGAACAATAGGACCACTCACTCCATTATGTTATAGAGCTCACTGACAAGTACAAAACGTATCCCGACTACGAAAGCGGAAGAGAGACGCACCTGCAGAATGGTTGTCTGGTGTATCCTCTGATTGTTGACGTATGTGTGCGCGTCTCTGGAACACGGCGTGAGGGTCACGATGTTCTCGGTGAAGGCTATGACGCAATGCCTGGGCATCACCGTCGGTCCCGGCAGCGTCAGCGTCTGTGCTTGCACCGCTTGCGGTCCTATCGGTCTCTCCGACCCGACCTCCGTGACATTTGGCTGCAATCGGTGTCGCACACCGGCACCGTTCGGGATATCGCTGCCGTCAGGATTAAGTTCCAGCAGGAACGGTAGCCTCTCGTCCTCGTACCTGTACGAAGGCGAACGAATAGCTTTCTTCTATCAAAAACGCTTAAACGTTGAACAATTGAAAAAAATTAAAGGTCGGGACAGGACAGCGGAGCGTCGCCGAAGTGCGAGCAATTAATGGTGGGCTGAACATTTGTCAGATAATCCGAGGATAGCAGGGCAATGTCTGATGTCCCTTGCAAAACAATTTCCTCCGAAACTGGCGTACCTGTGATCCAGCTCGTTCCACTTTCCGGCTGGTTTCTTTTTACGTTTCCGCGGCATGTAATCCGCGGGCCTCCTTCTCACGTGAAACATAATGGAACCTGCAAAAAGAACGCGCGCCGTAAGATTTTATTCGAGCATACACCAACGGAGGACAAACTGGTCTGTGTATATGTAAATGTATATGCCTATATATTCTAACAGTAATATTGTATAAATTATAAATTTATAAGAACAAACAAGAGGGTGCATCTCGAGGGGGAAAAATGATTACATAACATGAACACGTGATTATAATAAATTATAGATTCACACACAAATTGTTACAGGTCGTGTACTACTCTAAATTCGTTTCAGTTCCGTAAAATGTTTGCCATGGGGAACCCGGCTACGAAAACGCGAAACGAAATCTTTCTGGATGGCGATTTCTGGTCGGATTAGTCTTCCACCTAGTTTTCTTTCCGTCACTATTCCGTTCTAGCATTTCTTTCTCCGTCGGTATGCATCCTTATACTACAATTTATAATACATTTCATACAATACTGAAGAGTACAAGTCATAAAGATTATAATATGAATACATTTATATACAATAACTTGCTGGAGAACAATAAAAATCTTAAGAATCGACGTACACACAGAATTTTCTAAAGAATCTTTGAATTCTCCTCACGAGAATTTTCTCTTAAAATTTACCCTGAAAATCGTGTAATCGCGGGACAACTTGAAGAACTTTACGAGTTTTCTTAAATTTTACCTAAATTTTATAAAATGTAGAAAATCAATAAACGACAAAACTGGCAAATTCTAATTGAAGACATTTATTCCGGCAAATGTTACAATACCTCAGCCTGAATTTGAACTTGGACCACCTCCTTACATTCTAGACTGCTCTCTTTAATTAGAATTTGCCAGTTGTGTCGTTTATTAATTTCCACATTAAATACATTTACTGGCGACAATAAGGCCCGGTTTTCCATTTTCTGGCCATATGTTAACCAGAGATTAGTCGACTCTCTGTCTCTTCTGATGAAAAAATGAAAACCGGGCGCCAAGTCTTTATTCATTTTATAAAATGTATGGTAAAAATTCATAAAATTCTTCGAAATGCCGCGCTGTCTCACGATTTTCAGGATAAATTTTAAGAGAAAATCTTCTCCGTGCTGAAATTGACGAGGGATATGAAAAAAAAATTAAGAAACCAGAGAATTCACCAGTAAATAAAAGTAGATAACGGGCGCAATGAGGGGCATCAGAGATCTTATCGGGGCAGTTCTGGGAAACGCCGAAGGGTGAGAGCGGTCGACAGAAAGGGAAATAAAAAGGGGGGGAGGTGGGGGAGGCCGCCTCCATCGGCATCGTATGAGCGTTCCGTCGTTGATTTAAAGATGCGTGGCGTATAAATAATCGCGCATGAGAAGCTTCGCGGTAAATCGTCGAATTAGTATGATGGGCTAGATAGGGATCGTGCATTTTTCTCGGCGTTACAGCACTGCCGCGCGTATCCTACGTGCGACGCACGTGTGCGTGCACCAGAGCCGCGTACGGTGGCTTCTCACGGAAGAAAACGGAAAGGGAGAATGACTCTCGGCTTCGGGTCAGCGCGCCGCACAGTCATTGCACCCGCCGTCGCCCGGCGTTTTCATCACGTTTTTCCCTCGTCCTCGCTTCTGCAAACGGCGCCGCTTCGTGCTTTCGGCGCCGATCCCGTCGAGTATTATAACATTAACGATCCAAAAAAATTGGCTTCTTCCCTTACCCGGGAAAGAAAATATTCCTCGTAGCTCATAGAGCACGCATGTCTGAAAGACATCTTTAAGTCGTCCTTTAGATATGTATGGGCCTGAGCAGAATGGCTGTCTTGTACTCTTAAAACGTAAGACAGTTATTGTGCGTTACTTCAAGACAAAGGCTCAAAACATAAAACATTGTCTTAAGGCTGTCTTAAAGGTATAACATAGCCATTTTGCTCAGGCCCTAAGTCTAAAAGACGACTTAAAGATGTCTTAGGCCCGGTTTCACCAAGCGCCGCTTAATTTTAATCTTGGTTTAATTCATGTCTGTCTCTTTCTAGAGTAACAGTTAGAAAGAGACAAAGAGCGAATTAAGCTAAGCTTAAAGTTCAGCAACGTTGGTGAAACCGGACCTTAAAGATGTATTTTAGGGCCTGAGCAGAATGGCTGTCTTGTACTCTTAAAACATAAGACAGTTATTGTGCGTTACCTCAAGACAAAGGCTCGAAATATAAAACATTGTCTTAAGGCTGTCTTAAGAGTATAAGACATCCTTAAGACAATGTTTTACATCTTAAGCATTTGTCTTGAGATAACGCACAATAATTGTCTTATGTCTTAAGAGTACAAGACAGCCAGTCTGCTCAGGCCGTTAGATGCCCTATCACGTTGCAATTTTCAGAAAAAGAAATATGTTTGAAGTTGTAAAAATAGTACTTTTTACTTTTCACCTGCGCGTATAGTTACAACTGTAACGAACGATATATTGCAAAAGTTTTATACCATCTAGAATTATTTATTCCCCGTAGTTTTCTCTTGTATACGTTTCACCGAATGCAATCTCTCCGAATACAAGATGCTGTATCACGTCGCAAGTTTAAGGGGAAAAAAAATGTGTTTGTGAAGTTGCAAAAATAGTACTTTTTACTTTCTACCTGCGCGTATAACTACAACTGTAACGAACGACACACGAAAAGAAAAGTGTAGCTGCCGTAGCTAAGAACTGCATGCGGCAACTAAATTTCTAAAGTTGTAAAATATGGACAGCTAATGTTTAGTTGTGATAACTAAATATTTTGCTACTGTGCCTATGGCACTAGGTGCAACAGCAAACCGTTTGCTGTGGTTCAGAAATTTGTAGTTGTGGCAGCAAAATGTTTTTAGCAAACCATGATTAGCTACGGCAGCGAACGTTTTTTCAGTGCACATTGCAAAAGTCTTGTACCATCTAGAATTATTTTTGGCCGTCGAAAGAAAATGTATTGCTTATTTATTGTAATTGATTGTAAAAACTAATATTTAAAAGAACGTCTAAAATTATTCGTATTGCTAGAACTTGCAGCACTCAAAATTTGTTGCAAGGAGTAACGTTAGGAAACTATTCGTCACGGTATCAGAAATTTTAAATTGTTGACGAATCGTCGAGTTTAACAGTCTCGATGGTCCCGAGGGATCTTCAAGTTCCGAGGCGCATAAATAAGCGTTCGATGTTCGAGAAAGTGATAGAGAATCAGCGAGATTCGCCGAACAATCTACGATTTTCAAGACAATCGGTTCGCAATCAAACTTCAATTCGTTTGAACATTGTCCAGTCTCAGACCCAAATTTGCTTAAATTGCAAATCCAAAGGATTAAAATTCTGAGTAAAAGCACACGCGCCACTCACCTAACATCACCTCCGCCTTGCCGCTCCGGCGTGGCTTGAACGACCAAAGTCCGATCATGTAACACTCCTCGATCGACGATTCACGAATGGCATGAATATATAATCGCGAGATTTCTATTCGAATTAATTAGAACGAATACTCCGACAGTTTTGTAAGTGACACGTTGCACGTTTCGCGTCTATCCGTATAAAACGGTCGCAAAAAATACACCTTTCTATAACACGAGTTCTTTCACTTCTTCATTTCGAACCTTGTACATTCGATTAATTTAATATAACAAGAATAATAATTCGAAAGCAGATATGTCAACACCAGTTGAAAAATTAAGAAATATATAGTTAAGTGTGGAATCGACTTTACTGGCAAACTCTTTACTCTGAGGTAGTTTTACAACGTTTCGGCCAGTAATACTGGTCCTCTTCGGGTGACGAACTTACATAAGTGCCCGCAAATGTCTACAGGGACAAAAGAAACTTCGTGTAAGCTAAGGTGTATGGTTAACAATTAATGTAAAGGTTAACATTAAAAAGTTCTTTATGTATATATAATAAGCTAAAAAACGTAGAGATAAAAAGAAAAGAAGAAAACTTACAAGGTTTGTCGAGATAAAATATGTGAAATAATGTCAAAGATTAAAAATCGTCGTTGTACATTGTGTTTAGTCGTCGGAGTCAGAGCACAGAATAGACAGTAAGTGACAGGAGACAAGCGCGAAAGTCATAGGAGAAACAAGTAAATAAATATGGGTAGGGGTGTAGATATTAAGTTATTCTAATGATCCTATCGTATATTGAGTTGAGATTATCCGTGTCTCTTTGCAAGTTGATGGTGTTGTCTAAATGTTTTTTTAAGAACATCTCGGCGATCTCTCTCTTTCTGAAATGTGGTTTGCGGGCACTTATGTAAGTTCGTCACCTGAAGAGGACCAGTATTACTGGCCGAAACGTTGTAAAACTACCTCAGAACAAAGAGTTTGCCAGTAAAGTCGATTCCACACTTAACTAAACAAGAATAATAATCGACGTACGATTTTATTTCGAATTTCCTATTATTGTTGATTATATCTAATAATATTTAATTTCTTTTCATTGTTGTACATTGCACTTTTATTATTATTAATAGTTACACGTCATCTTTGTGGGGCGAAATGTTTATTAATATGTCAGGTTTTGGTGAGAAATTAACAGCGAAGTGTTTATACTGCGCGAAGAACCTATTAAACATTCACAAGTGAAATGTTTATAAGCGACGTACGAAGTGTTGTAAAAATTCATATCACTCAGTATCAAAGTCGCGTTATAAAGCGATAAGCGGGAAAACAATTGACTTAATAGGCCAATTTTACCGAGAACATCGCGAATAAGTACATGTTTCATGCCGATTTTCCCAGAAGGCTACATTCATTAATCGATCAGCGTGTATTCCTACCAAAGCGCTATGAAATATCCTTATAAAATACAAAGTTCTGGGAACGACACAAAACAACTTCGTCACGTGTCAGTGAAATGCGCTTCTTGCAATTTGTACATAGCTTCAAACTTTTCTGTTCACGCGGTAGTAAATGCCAACGTGACATTGCAATGCGAAAGATTTGGCATGCGGCGTTATAAACGCAGCTAGGCTCGCATACACGCATAAACGGTACGCAATAACCAAGAATCAAATAAATGGGAAATAGCTCGATATATCTGACCGATAATCT